GCTTTGTGTTGCTTATGTTTTGATACTCAAGAATATAATTTTCTGTTTGACTGACCTTCAAAGTTTAACCACTAACTGTATGTAATTATGGGATTGGTTCCTCAGAGGAGCGGCATATTGTGAATTTTTGAATTTTGAGAGTGATGTTCTTTAGTTGGTTGTTGATACTTGAGAAGACTAGACTAGAGTATACATATGAGGGCTGTTTTTCAATGCATGGATTCGTTTTTCCTTTTGAAGGATACCATCTATAGACGTGACAGTTACATTCCAAGCCAATAAGCTATATATGTTTATTAGTAATGAGTGAAAGTGAAGAGTTTCTGTTAGAGACTTTCTTGTATTTTAGTTGGTTGAAAATTAATATGAATGCAGGGTTTTTGCTTTTAGTTAATTGAGAGATGGTTTTCTTCATCTTTGGACATTGATTGTGGAATTAAGTTACACGATTTTTTATTTAGTGTCTTTATAGCTATCTGTATCCTTTCATTGTAGCTTTCAAAATTACTAAATAAACAAAAGTTCCAATGACTTTCAAAGCCTTCTTTTACCCTTTTTCTTCAAAATTTTTACCCTTTATGCCTCAGTAGCATCACCCCCTTTAAATGAAGCACAAGAAAATATACTGGCTCCTTCCCCCTTCCTCTGTACTGGAACCTTAAAACAAAACCAGGGCTTTCTGATTAGTTCAAAGTGGATTTTCTTATGCTGATTAATTTGACAAGATATTAATGCTATCAGCTTCAGTTTCTTCTTTCCCACACTTGAGCAAGAATTTTTTTTTTGTTCTGTCTCTTCACAGTGAAATTTCTTCAATCTAACGCCTTTTTGTCTATGTAAACTTTTCCTTCCACACAGCTTCAAAGTCACATCAGTATGGAAAGCCATCCTTATCATAAGTTTGGCACAGGTAAGAATTTTCTCTAATTCAATTTACATTTCCCCTCATTGGATAAGAGATACGTCTGAATCTTGTGAAGCTGTCATTAACAATTCTGTATTTATCTGCTGCTAAGACTTTGCATCCAAAGCTTCTGGGTACTCCTTTTATTTTACACAACGGTCAATTATTATTATTATTATTATTATTATTATTACTGTTACTGTTACTATTATTACTATTATTATTAGGGTTCTATGGATATTTAGGGTAGCTGGTCTTTCTCTCTTTCCTATTTCATTTGATTCTTTCTTGTATATGTGACTCCTTTGTTCCAGTGCAAAGCATTGATATATAGAGCAATTTAATTTGCTTTGCTTCTCTCTTGCTATCACTAGTGTTATCTCTTTTTTTCCCTTTTGTAATGTTTTCTTGTGTTTGGTGTTCAGTTCCTTGTATATATTTATGTTTGTCTTTAATCTACTATTGATTTTTATTTTTAACTGCATTAGAACTTGTCAGAAGACTTATCTAACAAATATTGAAAAACAAATATGAACATATGCTCTTTAGTATATACAGTTTCTAGCAGTGAATTGACTGCTTGTTCACTTTTAGGGAATTGTGATACTTTGGAGGTTAGACCAAAGGCAAAAGGAGTGGATACAAGACAAGAGTTGCTCAAATTCTATGTAGAAAATTACTCTGCCAATCTTATGCATCTAGTTGTGTACTCAAAAGGTTAGTAACTAAATTTCCGCATGGCTAGGGCTTGGTGACATAAGGATTTGATTTGACACAAACAGAGTTCATAATATTTAGTAATGACAACTTCTATCTTTTTGTTGTGAACTTTTAGAAAGTCTTGATAAAATACAGAGCCTGGTAGAGGATAAGTTCCAGGAAATTAGGAACTCTGGTAGAAGCTTCCCGAGTTTTCCTGGTCAGCCTTGTTCATCAGAACATTTACAGGTCTGTAGAAATCATGTTATTACTGAGTAAATGCATTTGACAATTTATGGCAGGTAGGAAGTAAACGTTTTGGTAGTGGATTTTTAGCACTGCTATTTATTGTCCATCTTTTATGTCGTTGGTTGTTTCAGATTCTTGTTAGAGCAGTTCCTATAAAAGAAGGGAACAAATTGACAATTGTATGGCCAATAACTCCAGAAATTCATTATTACAAAGAAGGGCCATGCAGGTATCTTGGTCATCTTATTGGCCATAGAGGAGAAAGGTCCCTGTTTTACATCTTGAAAATATTGGGTAGGCTGTCCAAGTATTTTGCATGCATTAGGCCGTCGAATTCTGAAATATTTTAAATTATATTGCCTTCACAGAAGTTGATTTTGTTTGTTGACTTGTTTTGCGTTTTCGTAGTAAATAATATGTAAGAAAAATGTTATGACACTCTCAATAAGAAAATTTAGCAAGGGTTTTTAGTTTTTGTTGCCATAAGAATTGAATTTATAGCAGATTTTCTGCCAAGAAGGCGCTTCATTTCTTGAGGGTTTTGATATATACTACTCCAACTTTTCTGAATAAAAGTTTAGTTTAATAGAATCCAAATAAATTTAACGATAATTACTCTATATATATATATATAGATGTATATAGGCATGTCTTTGTTATTCAAGGCCACTTCTTACTTTTATTAAACTTTGCAGGATGGGCTACAGGATTGGATGCTGATGAAGGAGATTGGACTTTAGAGTTTTCTTTTTTCAGAGTAGTAATTGATCTTACAGATGCTGGTCAAGGTAAGTTTTTTATTTGTACGCATTTTTTTCACCCTCCATGTATTTGATTTATTTATAATTCTTGGAACTATTGTTTTTTGGTAGGTGTTGCTTGGCATTGCCTTTTTTTTTTTTTTTGTT